AGACAGCCAGAAGGACCATATAAGGCACCTCTTTTTAAAGCTTTTTATTCTTCTTTTCTTGGAGTGGATGAAGGAACACATACTTGGGCAATACTACAAAAGCATTAGAGGAGAAATGTTCAAATTTATGATACAGGAATAACAAGTACAGTCTGACATGTACTGATACTACTGAATACCTACATTTACTTTTCTATTTCTCTGTTTTCTATGGACTATTTTAAACTTTCTATTGTATCCAGTACTTTAAAGATTATTGAAAAGAAGAGACACCCCACACATAATAAGTAATTCTATCCACTGCACACAGAGTTTCCTATTTGGATCGAGACAGACAGGAAAGAGGGAAGGTAGAGATAAAGAGAGATGAGATCTGCACAAAATGTTAGCAGTTGGACTCAAACCAGTAATGTCACATACACAGTGTGCATAATGTGGCTGGGGCTCTGATGAAACCACTCAGCTAGCAGCTCTCCCTGACTGTGCTGCATTGTAAATGAGTGGGTCATCATGATTACTGCCAGACTCTCTAAAGACATTTAATCATGGCTTTAGAATTGGCTGTTGACCAGGAAAGCTGTTGCATAGTGAAAACTGTCTATACAAAGGCTAGTGTTAGTACAGTCAGGGTATATGATAAATGAAAAGGTATTTCTTATTAAAAGCTTAAGTGTTATCTTGTGCTATTATTATATAGTATAGACACCTTTGTCTCATCTTTCCAGTTTGTAGTAAATTACATTTACAATTTGATGATATTGGGAATTCTTTCTTACACGGCTTAAATAGTTCATTACAAAACCTTAATCTTTTCAAAGAACAAGGTATATTTGCATAAATGGCAAATGAAAATTGGCATATGTTATAAATTATTGTTTTAACCATGGAAAACGAAACAACATTGTCCAAATGAACAGGGAAGGATGATACTAAATTGTTAGCAGTTGTGGGAAAAATAAGTTGCTGTAGTTTAATTGCCTTAAAGCCCCTCTGTGTTTTGCTGGGATGAAACTGGATGAAACTGACAGAAAAAAATAGGGAAGGAAGAATAAACGAAATTAGTAATTCAATTCACAGCAGAATCAAACGGGTGTGATTGGATAATATTTTGTTATATCATAGCAAATGAAAGATATTTTAGATCAAAGGCAGTGATTTTCAGCAGAAGAATATAAAGATGCATTATTGAAAAGTGGTGAACAAAGTGTGTGTGTGTGTGTGGGGGGGTGTATTTGGTGTCATAACTAGAGAAATGTAGCCTCTCCTATTCAGCAAACCTGTGTAACCAAACCTGGGCCTGTCATTGTGCCTTTATTTGTTTGATTTCAAGGCAGGGACAATACAATAAAGCTAGTCCGGAAACAGGATCAGGTTGTGACTGATGGTAATTACTTGCTATCTACACCATTAAGAATTTAATGTAATTTCAGATAGACTTTCCTGGACAGAGAGAGAGGTTGTCAGGACAAGTCTGGCTTTCTCTCTACACGTTTAAGATGTTTAACGTGTACAAGGCAAAGAATAAAGTATGTTTGGAAGCCAGCTTGAGTTACCAGGAAATGTGGGCAGACCATATGTATGTCTTATAGTTTTAGCACATCCTTTGTGTGATAATGATGTCTTATTAATAACCTGCATACTTTATAAAGTTCAGAATATTTAAGAGTCACAAAGAAGTAAAAAACCTGATTAAATCCAAATCAGGCATCCATTGTCCATTCTGCCCTAGACTGAAGATGCCAGAATGGCTGTCAACAAGATTACTGGGCCAGAGGTGATCAGTTATGAGGAGTATGTAAGCCACAGAGTGTCTCGATATGGTTGAGCCTTTCCCAGCCATGTAGAACTTAAAGCAGGATTTGTGTAATGAGACAGCACAAACTGGATTTAAGTTGCAATAGGCCTAAATTACTTGTTGGACTGTTGTGTGTTTCCTGTCTGAAAATGACCAACTGAGGGAGTTGGAATGGGTGAACGAGAAAGGTGATACAATGAAATCAAACCTCCACTGTTATTACTGCAGTTAATCATATGCTGTAAATGTTTGTTCAGTATAAAAAAATACATCTAAAATTGTGCAGAAACCATCTTAAATTTGAGGCTGCAAACAACCACCGCCTGAGTAGCTGACTTATTTATTGTAGGCAGATATAGAAAGCATCACCAAGGTATTGATTCACTATTGATTCAGACTGATAAATGAGGAGCCTGGAACATGGCATAACACCTGGCTTGCCAAGTGTCCGGCTTTTGAACCTGTTCCAATAGAAGAAAAATCACTGAATATTCATGTGCCACACTTTATACAGAGTTTTCTGGATACTTTCCTTAGTGAAGACACTAGAAGAATATCTACAAATGCATCTTGATCACTGGATAAAACCTTATACAAAATGATTATCTGCAGTATATGACTGAATGAAGAAGCAACATGGGGATAAACCGAAACAACAAAACAATAATGTTTCAAATTTTAGTCAAATCTGAGTGCTTTTGTGTGCTTGTAAAAGCTTATCTCAACAGTGTAAAAAAAAAAGAAATGATCAGTAAGGTACACTTAAAGGTTCTTTTCACAAACCGAATTTTGAAAGTGAACATGTAAGTTTCTACAGGGTTCGCTCTAACATATTGTGTTGTCTGCTCACTTCCCCTGTTAATAAAGTCATTCATTATTCTCTTTCTGTCTCTCTCTCTCCATCTCTCATACTCAAGTTTTCTGGAAAGTAATCTTTACCCTAACCTTAAAGGATAAGGTCATTTTCTAAATTAATAATATTTTCAGCACTCCTCATGCAGAGACTAAAACCAACAACGAGATGCCTCTACATGCAGTTAATGTCTGTCTGTCTGTCAGCTATGGATTAGCTTATTCGCCTGTTCCATAGACCTCAACTGTTGTTCAAAAACAATTAAAACCACATCAGTGAAACACACCGTTGCACCGGATGACATGTTTCCTCATTACAAAAAACAAGACTTGATAAATATGTTGTCTCAAAGGCTCAGAACGGCCATAATATTTTCCAGCGTCTGATGCAAGCAAGAGTCAACTGCATGTGCATGAGCTCTCTGGATATTCTTAACAAATATAATGGTGTTGTGGTTCATAATGAGGAAAACGTCACCCAGTGCAACAGTGTGTTTCAGTGATGTGTTTTTAATTGTTTTTGAACAACACCTGAAATGTATGGCACAGATGAATAAGCTGATCCAGGACTGACAGATGGACAGATAACAACAATGAGTAGAGGCAGTTCATTGCTGGTTTTAATCTCTGTATGGGGAGTGTTGAAAATAATGCTAATATAAAAAATAGCCGGCCTTATTCTTTAAATCAAGTTGTCACTCTAAAATTCAGTGTTCTATTGCTCTCAAACAGTCTGACAGAAAACTAAGAACCTGTTCAAATCCCATTGTACATCTAAGAAATGTGTTGTTAGTAATCATAAAATCAACAGTACAAAACATGTTCTATCACAAAAGGCACATGAAATGCATTTCCTTTAGATCACATGTCTAAAATATTTTATTACAGAAGCTACACTGTCACCTGTCTTGAAAGATGTGTGCACTTATAAGTAAGATTAGGATCTTTCTGCCTATTTGTGTAATGCACACTTTGGCTAGGAGAGATTACAGAGGATTACACTGAGCTGTTTCTAGCTGCCGGTGTGCTCTGTGCTTACATGACGTGCTTCCGTCCTGAAATGCCCATTATAACTTGAGAAGCTGCTTGTGTGAATACATTCCAATACAGGTTTGTTTGCATGTCTCCCGTTTGTAAGAGCCAAACCTGAACTGGTTTTTAAAGGGCATTTAATACAAGTGAGTTCCTTACTTGGGAGTGTGCATAGCCAATGGGTAGAGTCCTAAAGCCTTTCTCGCCACACAACTTTCATTGCAAACACACAGAAAGACAGAGAGCAAAGAATGCAGGTTTTGAAGGCACTAGAGGTTCAAGTGATGAAACACCAAGCATCAATACATTCATATTGTGATTGGAATGTAGCTTAGACAAAAGTGATTTTGTCCTCAAATATTTCCTTCAGGTTCAGCTGTGCCTACACGTCAGCACAGTGTTTTCACTAGGTGTTGCCTCCCTAGTCATGTTCTATGCAGGTGATGACAAGTACAAAACAGGCTCACAGGCTTAGATGTTACACCTTGATTTGACATACAATGTACTGTAGTAGGTAATTTGATGTGATTTAATCTTATCTGAAGAGGATATCATCTAAACTTGTTACCTGTTCAACATTGCTTCAGCTATAAAAAAAAATACTGCACCTTTGAGGTACATTCACATACATAATTACAGAGTTTGAGTCATAAATACTGTATAAGCTCTGCAGTTTTTGTGCTTGTCAATTTATTATACTCCAAACTATAGGCATGTTTTCTTGCTGTCCTTTCAAACATAATCAATATAAATCATCATCAGAAGATATGTAAATGAGATTTTGTGGTTGTCTAATCTTTCTGTATGCATTAAACAGCCCGTCAGTCAATTTGAGGGTTACAATAGCTTGTTCCTTTTAGCCTTACTTCACTAGCAGGAACCCTCATTAAGTATGAATGGAAATATAAGGATAGAGAATGTTTGTGAACTTGACAATTTTAGGGAAGGCTAAGGAAGTCCACGCTGCTCTTGGGCACTGGCAGACCCCGCAGCAGGGACAGAAGACTAGAGGGAAAAAGATAAAATAAAAGGTCGGGGGGGAGGAAGAGGACGCAAACAGAAAAGGCATAGTTGGGATCAGGCCCCACTCCAGAAATTTAGATAATTATGTTATCTCCATTAAATACAATATGAATTCTTATGCACACACATTTGAAAATATGTCAGTACGTGTAGGTGATATTGCTACAGAAAAATCCAATGTATTATAAAAAATAAAGAGTCTTTAATAGTTGCTTTCACAAATACTTTTCACACACTGAGTATTGCATGACTGGAGGGTGATGTCTGTAAACTGAAGCACTTTATGAAAAATCCTTGGACACATTTCACATGGTACATCCTTCATATCATTGTTTATATCAGAAAATGAATATCATGCTTCAAAGACTGAGCTAAAGAAGACTGTAAGATTCATTTGCAAGCTCTGGAAAACTTTTGAGTGGCCAGTGAGTTAAGATTTTTTGGGGGGTATATTGTATATTATAGGAGCAACTTGGTGTCAGATCTACACTTCTTATAGCGATTTTTGTAAACATTTATGTAAACAGAGGTGGTTCTTGAATGTGTGGACAGCTGAATATCAGATGTTTGAGATCTGTCTGAACTTTCTGTTCACAACATGCACTGGGTCCTTCTTCATTTTTAAAGGTATTTCCACTTCTGGTCTTTTCTTTCTGTGCTTCTTAAACCTCTTACAGCATATGTAAGATGTCAGCATAACAACCGTGAGGAAGAGCCCAAGGCATGTCACTGAAAGAGCAATGAGGAGACGCTGACAAGGGAACAGCTCATACTTCTCAGGCCCCTCTGTCATATGACCAGTGTACCAGGGTCTCTCCTCTGTCTCTATTTCAGACTCTCTGGTCAGCAGACTTTGAATGTAACTCTCATTACTAACTGTTTCATTGACAAAGAAGTTTACCATGACTGTTGAGTAAAGTGGTTCGGGCTGGCCATGATCACTGACCTTTACCAGGAGGCTGTACAGGCCCCGGTTGCTGAGCTCCCTCTTTAATGTGATATTTCCTGTTTCTGGGTCAATGGCAAATGACCCTGGCTCACCGCCTTTCCTCTTAATGATACTATAGGCAATCACAGCATTCATGCCTGTATCCTTATCCACAGCATACACCTCTGTGATTGATGTTCCTGGTAGTGTATTGGGTAGCACTAGCATGTAGGATTGATTGGACTGGGGGAAGAGAACAATTGGTGGGTTGTCATTTACATCCAACAGCAGCACTGTCACCATAGTAACACAGGAAAGTGCAGGCTTCCCTCCATCGACAGCCTCAATCCACAGCTGGTATGTCCCTTGTTGCTCACGGTCCAGTGATGTCTTGGCCCTTAGCGCCCCTCGACCTGTGTCTATCATGAAGATGTCGCTGCCGTTGATGATGGAAAGGGCCACCCAGCCATTTTCCCCAGCATCAGCATCTGTCACAGAGAGGACCCCGATCTCACCATACCCCGGGAAGTTCTCTGGCACAAAGAAAGTAAAGTCCTTATTGATGAAGCGTGGACTGTTGTCATTGCGATCCTGCACAGTCACTACCACAGTTGCAATTGACTCTCTCCTGGGTGTCCCCTGGTCCACTGCTCTCACTATGAACCGGTATGCCTCTTTCTCCTCACGGTCCAGTGATGTGGTCACGGTGAGGACACCTGTGATGCGATCCACAGCAAAGATCCCAGGAATGTCACCCCCAAGAAGGTAGATGACCTCCCCTCGGCTTTCACTGTCCTGGTCTGAGGCTTGTACCTGGGCTAGAAATGTGTTTGGTGGATTGTTTTCCTCAATAGATACTTCCAGCAAAGACCGCTGAAACACTGGTGCATTATCATTTTCATCTAAAACCTGCACCTTGAGGTACATCTTGAAGACAAGATCTCTTGTATTCTTAGCAACCACAGTTAACTCATACTCCTGTGTCCTTTCATAGTCCAAGGGCTCTGTAGTCTCCAGCAAGTATTCATTCTTGAACAGCTGATAAGGGACAAGCCTGAAGGGACCTGTTCCTTCCAAATGGCAGTCTACCCTTTGGTTCTTATCAATGTTTTTAACAGTAAAAAAAGCAATTGGATAGAAGGCGGGCTCAGACTCCTTAATTGTTATCACTCCATCCTTTTCTGGGGCAATGTACCGGGCTATGACAGCAGGGGGTCCAGTGACAACTTTGATGATATTCACAGTGACAGTGGCAACAGCAGGGATACAACCAGGTCCATTAGCAAGAATGGTGAGTTTGTAAAATGTGGCTGTGCCAGTGTCTATCTTCCCTGCTAGCTTGATCACTCCTGTGTTTCTGTCCAAATGGAACAAAGTCCTGGTGTCCCTTGGCACACGTTCACTGTAAGCATAGCTGATCTGAGCATTAGCGCCAAGGTCAGGGTCAAAAGCATCCAGATGTGCCAAATGTGCCCCTTTAGTGGTATTCCCATGCAGAGTGACATTAATGTGTGACTCTGTGAAGTGGGGGCAGTTATCATTCACATCTGTGATGACAATTTTTAAAGTAGCTGCTCCAAGCAGAGGAGGGGTCCCTCCATCCTCTGCAATAATATCTGTAATGTATTCATCCTGTGATTCTCTGTCTAAAGCCTCCATAACAATGAGGAAGGGTGTCAGCTCCCCTCCCTCATTCTCCTCAACATCCAGTGTAAACACGCCAAAGTCATTAACCAGCCAGTAGGTCTGCACTCCGTGAAGACCCAGGTCTGGGTCGACTGCAGACTGCTCAACCGCATAACGAGCATTTATAGGTGTGTTTTCCGGGACAGATAGACAGATCACATCCACTGGGAACTCTGGCCTATTGTCGTTCACGTCCTCAATGAAAATCTTAACTTTGACAAGTTGAAAGTACTGCTGAGGCAGCACAAACACATCCAGTGAGAGGACACATCCCTGACTGTCCAGGTTATCAGGGCAGAGGGTCTCCCTGTCAATTTCTGTAGCAGATGTGTAAAGCTCCCCAGTGATATTATTTAGGTTCACATACTGTTCACTGGTCTTCTTTTGTGGGAGATTGAATATAAAGGGGGGGTCAACAGTGAAATCCAAATTTAAGTCTAGTCCAATGGTCCCTATGAAGGTCCCCCTGGGTAATCCCTCCTTTATCTTATAGATGAGCTCCTTTGCTTGGCTGAAATTTGCAAAACAGGAAAGAGGGCTGGTGTAAAGCAAGAAGATGCACAATCCCTGTAATACAAGATAAGTAAAGATAATACAGTTTATTCATTAAAAGAGTTACAGAATAGAAATGTAGTTTGCAAATGAAGCATTACTGATGGGTTTTTATTCAGTGTGAAGATTAGTATATAATTATAATAGCAGTTTGGACACTTTCAACAATGTTTTAAACCATACTCCTTATATAACTCCCATTATGATTGTCATTTTAGCCTATCAATCAGTTAGATTTGTAAAGAGTTTACAGTTCATTTCATAAAACAGGTCAGGAGAATAAAAGCAGCATAGTGTGGAGGAAGAGGGGCCTAGTCGTGTCTCTGTCTTGGTTATATAAACTAGTATTCACAGTATCATAGAAGGTCTTTGTAGTTGTGTTAAAGTGAATTCTGTCTGTGAAGAGAATTATCATCAAACTTACCCATATTCCTCCTTTTTCTCTAAGGCTTGCGTGCCTGCTGTTGAGCATGTTTATGTCCAAATCCAGCACTTTCCACTTAGAGCAGGAAGAGTTTCATCTTGAGTAACTCAGGCATTTTGAACGTTAAGCAGTGCAGACCTCTGCTGAGTGCTATGCCTTATTGCTGTGTGACTTGAACAAGTCATTCATCCCAGTGCTAGCTCAGGACACTCCCACCAAATGCAGTTCAGTCCCCTGTGTTAACCAATGAGGGCCACTAGGAAATCTAGATCACAGATTCTTTTTTCACACATGCTATGAAAGCATTTCGACAAGCACCTGCACTTTTTTTTTACACACCCATGTTGTTACAAGCAGCTGCGTGCCTTGCGTTTCTATGGCAGAGTGAAATAATGACGTGAGGCTAAGCAAGATGTAAATTATCCACAGCCTACGGATTAATCTAATCCAGCATTAGTTAGAAAATATTACGAATAAAGAAGCTACACAGAATGAATTAAAATGAATGTGTAATGATTTAATAATAATGTATAATGTCCTTACAAACACAAAACTTTGAATTTTGATTTTCTGTGTTCATATAATTTATTATGTATAGGTTTATGAGCAAAGCTATACATTATAAATCTTGGCATCACAACTGATGCTATGGTCTGATTCTGAGCCTTTAACTAAATCAACACCATAATCCCCATATGTTCTAAATGCTGGGCCAGCTGTTTGCTGGGATTGGAAGCATACTGCTCACAGACACTGAGTGATTGAAGTTCTCTACAAAAGGGCAGACTGAGACAGTCACATATACTCAGTTTGTCTCATACTCTGTTAGGTATTTTCTGTTACTATTCATCATAAGTAGCTGGACGGCAAGCTAAATAATACAGTTCCTGTGTTATTTGGTGGAATTATAGAAATAAACCAACATCCTAGCTGCTTTACTAGGCGCTTTACAGTAAATTTCAGAGAGATAGATAGATGTATAATTACAGCATATACATCATTTACAGTACATCTTGGATCCAGGATCCACAGATTTTTCACACTGAGCTCAGAAACATTTCTGTAAACACATACTGTAGGCACAGTGGCCTTGAGACTTTAAAGCACTGGAAAGCAGGAGATCAGGGTAATGAGTCAAATGAGGGTTGCCTTGTGGTGCAGAGGGTCCGAGGTGTTCAGCTGTTGATCATCAGCAAGGAGTCAGCCTAGAGAAATTACCTACACTACAGTGACACAGTAAATATGCTTTTATTGTTTTTATTTTTTGCACACTATTATGAAAGTCTTACGTTATCTTGAACCATAAGGAAAAAATATGTAATAACATGTTTGGTCATTATGAGTTATGATTGTATGGCACTAATCAAAATGAGTGGTAGTTTCACATTTAACAAGCGACTGTGGTTCAGAATTTACAGATACATTTCATTCATTTTGAGTGTCTATGCTAAAGTGTTAAGTATTTGTTTCTTAGTTCATCATTTGAAAAACACAAGATTTTCCCTTCTTGTTTGTCTTTATTTTCTTTTTGGACATGAAAACAACAACACACACACACACACACACACACACACACAAAGGCTGCCCATTTTTCCAGGAGCTCCCTGACAGCATGATGTTTTGTTCTGTCCTTCTTATGGCTTACCATTGCTCTCACCTTGCCTCACAACAATTGGATAAGTGTTTCAAAATCAGCACCAGAAGAAATTATCTCCTGTTGCAAATCACACCTTCTGTGTTGCAAATTTAGTGAAATGGGCCCCAGAATCATGAAAGAGAACATCCGAAACAGCACGGCATGACAAACATATCAAAATATGTTACAGGCTCCTGTTGGCTGTTCACTGTTTACTCTGCAGCAGTTGCATTACAAGGAGCTGAAACACAAAGGCCAGCTATGCTCTCAAGTCCCACATTAATCTAATATCAGTATCAACTCTTCAACTCATCTCAGGATCACACACAGCGAGTTGAGGGACAAGGGACATTTAGTAAAAGTTATGGTCTCTAGTTTTCTGCACAGCCTGGTTTCATATCTGGTTTGTGATATTTGCTGTATCTCATAATAGTTTCTTTATCTTAATTTTTCAGGTGTTCTCTGTTTATCTTGTAAAAAAAAAAAAAAAAAAGTCAAATCTATCCTTTGGAATATTTGTAGAACTCATCTCTTTAAATTTTGTTGCAAACAACTCTACAACCTTTTGAGGATATTAGATGAACTAACTTTCTTCTCTTTTCTTGTTTTAGTGAATTCTCTAATGTAACAGTATATATAAATGTGGAAAGACCAAAAAAAACAAAAAACAAAAAACAAAAAAATCTCCACTAATACAGAATAAGTCCAAAGAGGCAGTATTCTTTGGTCTTTATTACATCATTTGCTTCTCCGAGTCTCAGTGAGCTGAGGCTGGGTAATCTCTGCCCAGATTTCCAAACAGATGTCCAGTTAGCCTTGACCTTTTTTTTTTTAATCAAAGTGCTGCTAGTCTATCCTGATAGCCACGAGGCAGCTTTATGGCTGTTAAGTAAGATACTGTAGATATGATGACACAAAAGTATCTTGTCAGGCGACACAGTTTGTGGAATTATTACAAACAATCTCTACAGTCTAAATCAAACCTCTTCCACAGTGATGATATGGTTATTGGGTGTAACAGTAGTTTTTCATTGTATATATTTAAGACAAATTGCAGTTTCCAACATTGGTCATTACCTGGTTTATGTTTACAATCTGCAGCAGCGCAGTGTTCCAACAATAACATCTTGTATGCATCTGGAAAAAAATGTTAATGTAAAATATGAAAAAATAAGACATATAATATTCATTAATCAATTAGGTTTCTTTTAACATCCTATACGTCTTTCATATAGTTTCAGCTGGCCCTGGTTAATCTCTCTTTGGGACCATTAGTGTAATTTTGTTAATGTTTCCACACACTGAGGGGCTGCACTACTGTTAGAATTTAAAAGGTTTAATTTGTGATATATTGTATGTGACATTCACACACTATACATGAACCAAGAGGTCAAAAATGTTGTACTCTCCTTGGACTAATTACTGTAATTTTGAAAATGCCAAAACCCAGAAGCCAATAAATTTTGTTCATTATCCAGCCAACTGGATATCAATGCTTTTATAGTAATATACTGTACTGTTCCAGAAATATGGATCACAGCTATGAGAAATGCCTCTTGGCAAATCAATACACTGCAGTCAAAACTACTTGTTTTATAATATCTAATTAAACAAACTTGCATTTCTTGTGTTTGCCCCAAAACAATGATTCCTGGAAATTGAAGACAGTTTTCAGTTTAATAGAGTACTACATAAAACACTGTTACATCTGTTTAACAGGACAGAAATCCATTCAGTCGTCATATATTATGTCCGTGAGAGTTACGGGTGGGCTGTGGTCTTTACAATACCTGGATGCATAACAGCACTATTACCATATAGATATTCTGCCTTGACAAAGTCCCAGTTTTGACTTTTAGCACCCTGATAGGCACATAGAGAGTATAAGACAATAAATAACCTCTTCTCTACCTTTATTTTTGTCTTGGAACAACATTTTCCAACTCGGTGTGCTCTAGTCTGCATCAGCCGTGCTGCAGCTGCAGCCCTCAGTCTCAGGGGGACAATGTTCCCCACTGCACAGTATGTTTAGATTTGAGAAGAGTGTATTTTTGATTAGTTCTGCCTTTTGAAAAATGGGATGGAGTGTAAATAACCAGGACGACTACAGTATGTTCTACATCTATGCTGAGACATAAAGAACTTTTTTTTGTACAAATTATTTACTTGTGTAGTAAAAGCCACCCACTGTTGTTCTTGCGCTATCATTGCCATCTACTGGTTGGACTGACATAAAAGAAAGAAAATGAATGTTTAAGTCAATATATGCTGTAAAAATGTGTCACATTTCTCATTAAAGTTTTACTGGTCTGTTTTTGGCTGTTCTCAAAATGCAATATGGCACTAAGTCTACAGCTTTGTTTTAACTGTGCTTGTTGTGCAGCAGAATTAGATTTACTGTAAATGATTTCACTTTTTCTCAGCTTAGAAAGGTAAGTTCCCCTGTGAGTTATCTGTGCTCAAGTTAAAGTTATAGGATAAATGAATTAGTTCAACATTACTTTGAGTTTTGAAACTGTAAAATGAACTCAGTTAAATGAAGTGAACTTGAGAAAACAAGTTCAATAAACTTCAGATATTAAGCTGTTTAATCTCATGGGCGTTCATTACAAAGTCACTTTCTTTTCTTCTTCATTCCTCAAAGAGTAAGCTCTTTATTTGACATAAAGAACTTATAGCTGGAGCTGTTAAAGCCATTCTGTACCACAGTCAGTACAAAAATAGCAGAGGGAGGGGTTGAATTCAATATGTAAACGTAATCATGGTTAGCACAGTTTTTGTCATTATGAAAAGATACAACCATGACTTCATTTAAAAATATACAGTATATGGGCCATGGAAAATTTCCACCACAAGTTCTTTACACTACAAAAAAAGTCTCTGAATAGAAACCTTCATTTAATGAGTTGGGTGAACTCTCAGCACATCATTCATTCATCATTTCAAGACAAAAGTCAACTCAAGTCAAATGGTATGAAACTAGACATAAATTGATTTGTCTTGAAATGAACACAACTTACACATTTACATAAAGTTAATGAGAAAAGCTTAGTCGATTCCACTACATTTTGCATAGTGTTTTACAGTGTTAGTACGAATGTGAGCGTTGCGTCCGGGGCTGAAAATCTGTAAGAGTACTTATTCCTAATAGGTAGATGATTTGTCATTTTTCCTGTGGAGACCCAATTTTCTCAAAGAGAGAACGGTATAAAAGAAAAAATACTTGAAAATGTCTCTGTGGCTTGCCATCATAATTCCAATTTTGGTGTAAAATGGAGCTGTCTTAATATAATATTATACTACACAATTCCTAACCCCTATGGTTTAGTTCTATTAAATGAAAAAATATACAACTGCTCTGACGTTTTCTCCTGCTCCTCTCTTCCGCTGTTCTCTCCCATCAATTTTCTCCCTTTCTGCTCTCGCTGTGCAAGAT